TTCCTATTGCTACGTTTCCTAGAGTTAAAAATGAATGCAAGTCTAATATTATTCAACACACAACAATTTTAGTGTGAAGTTAATACCTACATACAAAGTACTCACCTTTGTCCCATGACTATCACATTTTTTCAGTAAAAGTAAGAAAGCCTGAAAAAGAGTATTAAAGATATTAAATATTTTCGTCAGCAGTGGTCAGAGCACCCCGTTTGTGTTGTGTGTTATCATGTGTCTGCGCAGGTTGCTGGGGTTGTTGAAGCTGGCGGTACACTGGTTGCAGGTGTACGGCTTCTCTCCGGAGTGAGTCCTTAGGTGGATCTTCAGGCTGCCGTTCTGCGTGAAGCGCTTCCCACACTGCGGACACGCGTACGGCTTCTCACCGGTGTGAATGCGCATGTGGATGCCCAGCGTGGTTTTGTTGACGAACGACTTGCCGCACAAGCTACAGACGACAGGCGACTCCCCGGTGTGACTCGCCCGGTGAACGATCAGGTCTTCGCGGCTGAGGAAGCGCTCGCCACAGAAGCTGCAGTCAAGGGATTTGCTGACACTGTGAGGGAAGATGTTATGCTGCTGGGAGAACTGGCTGATATGACTAGGGTGTCCCACTTGATCGGCTCCGACTATTGTTTTTATCGCAGAACTCAATGCTGTTGAAGCCATTTGAGTGGAATGATTTCGATCCAACAGTCCAACACTCTTATCCTGCATCAGTCTCATTGAGACACCATCATTGGCACCAGTGGTAAAATTGAGGAGACCATCATGGGTGATGCTGTGGTCTGGAGACAGAGAGCTAAAAGCCTGAAGTTCAGAGGCAGTGAAGAGGGTGTCACTCTCGCCCTGCAGAGGCACTTCTCCTCCACTGTGAACACTCACGATTCTCAGCTCCTCACTATCACTTGTAAGGCAGGAGGAACCGGGAGAGTCTAACTTCTGAGTCCCTGTGGTAACACCTTCCTGTGGACGATGGCCTCTGAAGTCGTCCTGACCTGATGAGACAAAACCACCAAGTGATATTTGTGAATCTGTGCTGGACACTAAAAAACATATTGGACAATTACTAATAAAATCCAAAAAATCACAAACAGCCTCCTCACCTACAGCTGGTCCACAACCTCCAACGTCATCCTCATCTTTAATCAGGATCACATCTGGACTCTCCACATCTGCACACTAACAAACATGAACACATGAGCATGAGCAAACAAATAAAAAGAGAAAAACATTTGTTACTGAACACTTGTTCTGTGTTACCTGCACTTGAGTGCCAGAGGAAATCTTGTTGTCTGACTGTAGAGAAACAGAAGCAGCTTCCCCAACAGCTTTTTGAAGCATCAGAGGCTTAATGATGACTGGAGGAAGAAAAGGACACAATTTAAAGTGTGTGTGTGTGATTAGGTTGCACACCAAAGTTTTGGAAGATTATATATTCCCGCTGAAGTAAAAATAAATAAATTAAACCCTCAGTCCATTTGTTGTTCAATTTGCTCTACAGCTGCTCATTCAAACTACAGTATCCTTTGCAGCATGTGTTGTGACCATAGAGAAAAGGTAAAACTGTCAGACTTTTCCAAGTTGGCATGACTTCACAACAATCTGTACAAGTGAGGAGGGAAATAAAACATTTGCAGGAGTTCAGCTTTGATCAATGATATTCCCCTGTATTAGCATCTGTGTGACAGAGGCCATATTCTGACTTGATAGTTCAAATACACAAATCGCAGGTTCAGTACCTTCTCATTCTTTGGGGAGACGACAACTTAAACAAAACACAGCCAAACGATGCAATTTACCCAAACTTCAGCAAACAATCGTGGCTAACTAATAATACTAGTAACAGAGTACAAATAATGATATATAATAATAACTTGTGATAATGAATTAA